ACAGAATAGACTATATATTTCTTTCAGTCTAATTCAATAGTGATGCGAAAAGCAAGACGATAAGTGTAATGACTAGGCAGGCGCAACCTTTGTTTCGCATCACTATTAAATTAGATTGAAAGAAATATATAGTCTATTCTGTTTTTCATTCATTTTGGTCTGTTCCTGTTCCTATGACCACTCTATTTATACAATTTTAATCAAACATTGAAAAGAACATCTTTGAACACGAAAGAGACGCCACTAAAATTGTAAGAAATAAATAAAATTTAAATAAATTTATTGAAAAGTATTTAATTGATACTTATCAAGAAAAAAAGTCAAAAATGATGTCAAAAAATGACTTCTACTGTTAGCATTATTTTGGTATATTAACTAATTATTTTCACTTCTTCCAAAGTAATCATTTTAATGCATCATATGAACAGCATTTATCGGCATTTTTTGTGACAGTTTTACCCCATTATTTTTATTACGATTTGAAGGCATTTTAATACCATTTTACCATTCTTATCCCTGCCTGGGACCAACGGTCAATGAGAATCCTTATTCACAATTCGTATACAGTAAATATGTGAATTTCTTCGTAATCTGAATAATATTTTAGATTAAATTCAGATATCATTCATGTATCCTATCTTTGTATGCATTCACATCGCTCGCAGAAGCAATGTTTACTTATTGAGCAATCTTCATCGAATGAATGAATGAATATGCTGGACGAATTTATTTTCTCTTTTGTCCTTCTCTAACTTTATTCTTTTTTCCTTCCTCTTCTCTGACTTTTTTCTTTTACTTCTTGACTTAAATTTTTCTTTTCTTCCCTTTGCTTTCCTATCTCTCCAATTTGATTAAGACTAACAATCAATTACTAAGCATATGAGATCCGTTCTGTTTATGCCACATACATTTGTCGAATATATATTAACTGAAAATATTACTATCTTTTGGCTTGACTAGAGTTTCTAATCGGATTATGTAGCTCATAATTAATAATGTTGTATTGCTTGTCGTAAAATGAGTTTCAATTAGCTCATATACTAATGAGTTGATAATTTGTGATGAAAACTCTAATGCAGCAATTTTATGCTTGAGAATATTAGGAACTTATAATTAATTGTACGTTTCGAGCTTTGAAAATAATCAAAAAATTAGGATTTCAATGTGAAAATTGAGACTTTAAATCAATAAAATCAACCTGTATTTTTTCAATATTCTAATGTTCGCACCAACACATAATTTTGATTCATATGATGTCAATGCTATGCGGATTCTTACTTTAATCAAAGGAACTCTTTTTCACATAATTAAATCTGCAGCAAATACCTTTTTTGAAGTAATTCAGCAGATCAAAAGATAAATGGAAGCTCCAAACGGACTAAATGTCTTTCACGCGTACTGTGAAACAATAAAAAAATACAAATTCACGAGAATATAAATAATTATGGGAACCAGTCCCAAAAAAAAATTAATATACTTTAAGCATTTACAGCTGTTTTCGTTGGAAAAGATGATCATAAACATTTCTCACTATCTTTTACGAAGAAGAAAATGACTTATATAACTGTGTCAGAGTTTATTTAATGTGAATAACGCTTGGAAACGCTGACTAGACGTAAAAACGGCAAGAAAAGTGATGATCACGTTTTTTCTTGCCGTTTATCACCGTTTCCTAACAGAACGGGTGATTATGACAGTTTAAACGGCATTTTCAGCGTTTCACTTCTTCATGGGATAGGTCGCTCCACTGAAGTTCGAAGAAATTTTCTTAACACACTCTTCTACACTGCCATGCTAAGCTGAATGTTAAGAGCCAAGGAACGTATCAAAACAGAAAGTTACTTAAGATTTCTAGCAATAATGGTCTTCGACCAAATTGTTTTTAACACGTGACGCATGAAGATGGGTGTGGGTCGGTGTGGGGTGTGCGTATTCATCTTCTCTTAATTCACACGCACCCACACCCACACCCTCGATCAGTCTTCACATTTTTCTCCTGAATTATTGTATGTAAGACATTAACTTCAAGTTTATTATGAACAAATCGTCAAAAACGTTGGATGATGAAGCCATCATCTGTCAAACTGTCTTGGTGCGGTTGTTGTTCTGTAGTGTTGACGGGAATAAGCTCTCTGTCGTCGTTGTCAGTTTCAATATGAAAATCGAAAAAGAATGCATAAAACTGCATGATAATTAAAGTATCACAAAGGCATGCAGCCGTAAGTTCGGAAATATCAGTAATATACTCGAATACGTGCTTTTTGAAACGAAAATAGAGCCATTCACATGTCACAGATATAGTCACAGCGCCTACAAACAAATAGAGACATGATTTGATCCAGCCACTACGAAAACTTTCGTATGTCTCGGAAAAAAAGTCGAATAAGAGGAAAAAAGCGATGTTGTCTCGAGTTATTGTTGTAAATTCTTGGCTAATAAAAATAGGAATGAATATAGCGAGAATAATTTCCAATCGAGAGATGAAATGAAAAATGTGTTTGTTTTTTACTTCAATATGATGCGGATATTTCCAATATACACGGCAGTAAATAAGAGCCGCAGTAAAGACTATGTCTAGAGCCATCCATCCCGAGAATATAACGATTGAGAAAATGTTTCTCTTGTGAATATATGAGAGAATATAGCCGATATGACCAGTTTCAACAAGTACCCATAAGAACAAGTGGTAAAAGAATAATAAACGACGTGATTCAATTGGAGCACAATATTGTAGATATGAAAAGACGATAAGAATTGTCGAGAGAAGACCTTCATAGATGGATGGCTCAGATTTGTATAACAGATGGTAATAGTAAAATGCATCATAGACATATGCCATTAATGATAAAATTGGAAGCAAAACCATTCCCCATAAAAAGAAATTATCTTGTCCGTTGGCTGCAGGACAGATAATAAACGCTCTTCTCATGTTGTCAAATATTCACTATAGATGTGATCTTATTTTATTTTATTCAATTTGCAATAAATAAAAAGGTTTCTTCCAACCTAAAACTATGCCTCCTAATTAGTATCAACCAACTCACCTTACCTCCTCATTAAGTTACGTCAATATTCAAGGTTGTCTGTAGTTTAACTTCCCACTTCTTTCTATTACTCATGCAGCCTATAGAAAATAAATCACGCGTAAAATCGTTTCTAAATTGATTGTAATAAAAAAAAAATTATAAATATCGAAATTTCATGGATTGTTCTGGTTATTTTCGGTTAAAAAGCCGTTAAGAAATTGCTTATAGTCAATGAACAATAAACAAAACTTGATTAAACTTCTGGCGCTTATAGTCAGATGAAATCGATTAAAAATGATTTTTTTTTGCACAATTTTTAATCAGAACAATCAAATTGATTTTGATACTTTTGATAATTTTTTTTGTGATCTTTGTATATTCTTTTGTTTTTATGTGAGAGTGTATGAGGGAACGACGAACATTTTTCACATTTGTCAAGCGCATGAGAAAATGATACAAATGTCAAGCGAAAGACCACAAAACATTTATTCTAGTGAGATGACTAATTGTCAAAAAAAAACATTCTTTGCAGTTCTAGTTATCTCCATTCATCGACACATTATTTTCATTAGTTTTTCACACCTGTGGTAAGATGTTCTTTGTAGAAGATATTTAGGTTAGAAATGCAACAGTATCATGACATATATTGGTATAAGTTCCATCGTTTGTCACGTTCAATTATATTTTGCATTATTTTCGAATCTTACTTATTTAATCTTTTGAAAAAAAAATTACTATCATATTGTAAAGAATGTGAATTCCTTTTAAAAGGCTAACTTCATAGATCGAAGAAGATGTATGCGTCATCAAAATGTCTTTTATTGTGAAATTATGTTCTGTATATGTAGGCGGAGGCAATGGAAATGTCTATGATGATAAATGAGATAGGAAAAATCCAACAAGAATGATAACAGCGAAAGAAAAAATTCAGTTGACAAGAAGAATACGAAATGGAAAATTCCATATGTCACAATGTAGAGGGCAGAAAGGAAAAAACCAATATGAGAGGGAAGAAAAAAAAAAGGTAAACAGGTTGTGAAAGAAAGATACAGTGCCTGTGGAGAAAAACATACAAAAAAAACGACGTATTTTACACCATTTTAATAAAATTTTTCTCTCAGAGAAATGATGATCGAAGTAAACGAATGCTGAAATTTCTGATGATGAATTGGACAAAAA